CGAAATGAAGACAGAAGAGAATGAAATATTATGTGTGGAATATTACTGCCCCAGCATTTGCCTTAGTGATCCAAGGAAAGCCCAGAAAAACGTGGGCCAAGGCAGAAATATTGATTATTTAAACTAACAAAAATTCATCCATTGAAAATATAATGAGTGGCCTCAAGATGTTATCTAGACGCAAGACAAGATGTTGTCTAGTCTAAACAAATAATAAAAAAATTTTAAAGTGTACTTGAGTTCATTAATAAAATTAAGGTAAAATAGTAAGATTGATTTAATTATTTTATGCCAAATTAATAAAAAGAAAAAAATAATCCTGATCCTTTAAACGGATCCGGTATGGATCCTATGTTGATTATTATACCCGGATCAGAAAGCCTGATTTACTTCTGATCAATCTTGAGGCAATTCTGATCCACATCGGATCCATTCCTTTAACAATTTCCAGTCGGGAAGCGGTTGTACTTAATGTTTTAGGGTATAATTATTTCTCATAATTAACACGAAATTAACATTTTGCAAATTTTTTTAAAACTGTCAATTCTGTATTTCAATAGACATATACACATATTTTTTTTTAGAGTAAGTAATTTAGCTGATGTGAAATTGGAATTACTACACTACACCTACAGTCTTATATCGCGTCTGTTCGGCACGCTCTTTATCTTTTATAATATATGGTGTTTTTATTTTTAGTACACCAAATGAAAGTAGATCATAGTACACTACTAGAAGAATACCATAAATGCAAAATTGAGATAAATAGCTTAAAAGAGAAAAACAGAATGTTACCTGAGCTACAAGAAGAAATTAATAAACAACGAGAGATCTTAATTCCAGTCAATGTTCATGAAGCCAGAGTAAATGAATGTAAAAGGTAAATTTTCAAACGCTGTTGTTAGTAACTTCTGCAAAAAGGCGTTGTTAGTGCTAAAATCACAAACATTTTTTATAAACCATTAAAATATTCATTTAATTATGTATACAGAAGAGAAACAATTTTATTTATTTAGGATACAAACGGGCCTGAAGCTCAATAAAAAAAATTAAATATTAAAATTTGTAAAGGTAACAAAAAAGTGACGGGCGCTTCTTAAGTTACAAAAATAACAACAAAAATGCAAAGTAAAAAAAATCCATTAAACAAATTGAAATATGAGGTTTTTAGCAGACTTCTTTTCTAACCACAAAAAAAAATCGGCTAGCTGCATTATATGCAGTGGCGAACTAAGCGCGTCAGAGGTCCGGGGCGGCAAAGCTGAATGAGGCCCCCCAGCTTTAAAAGATATATAGTTTTACAAGCTTTTTATTCAGTTCATATTTGTATGTATAAATAAGTGTTTATGTTTAATTCGTTAAAATCTAGCAAGTGAAATTTAAATTCGACTTAAATTATTTAGGCTAAATAAACATACAATATGGAATGGATATGAGTGAGGAAAATAAAATACGAATCGATCAACAGAAAAAATTAGATAAAATTAATCAAAGATAATTTTTTTATTTTTTGTAGCGTGTTATATCTGTTTTCGTGCCTTCAATTTACTGAACTCCTCAATAACTTCTTTTGAAATTTTTCTTTGTATTGAAAGCGCGGCTAAATTAACCAATCGCTCTTAACCCATTGTAGATCGAAGATAATTAAAATATCAGAACACACTAACAAATTATTAAATATCAACGTAATGAAATTTAATATATTTTAAATAAGGCCAATGATTATTTTTCGACGTCAATAGAATGTAATGAATGTAAATGTAGGCGTACAAGATTTTATTATTTGCACTTCATTCATTCACGGATTCCTTAGGAAGTACCCGTTACAAAGACGGGAATTCCCCCAGCGTATTGGACGCGTTCAGCCCAGTTAAAAGAATATTAGTACCGCATAAAAAGTCTAGATGGCTGTATAGTGTTTTGATCTTGATGAAATTATGAAGGTACTAAGCACATTTTTAAAGTCTTGTTTAGGATTTGATCAGGAGAACGCGGAGGCATTTGGGGGCCCCCCAAGACCGGAGGCCACGGGCGGGACGCCCCTTCCACCCCCCTGTTAGTCCGCCACTGATTATATGCCATTCTAGATATCAAGGACCAATTCACTACAATAATATCTAACGCAAATAAATGTAAGGTCTTCATCTCAGACACCTTGCTTGCACACAGAATACCAAATAATTTTAGGCAATAAGGAGCATTTGTATAACCCCTAATACGTTTGAATACAAAGTAAGCATCCTGATAGTCAATTAAAGACCGCAAGGACATCACTCCTCTGAGCATTTAAGTTGTAATTATGAGAAACTGTTGAATGGACAACTTAATCTGCGTAAAATTCATCTTAGAAATTCCCTCTCATGTCATAACACTGCAGTATAAAGAGTTCATATTTGAGAAGCGTGTAAGAGACCAGACTAGACTAAATACGTATGCAATTATATAAAGGTCGACGGCTAGTTAAACTCAGACGTGAATCGCATCACAAAAAATTAATTCCGGGAAGTATTATTGACAACTAACACGATGTGAGAACGAAACGCAAGTTCAGGATCAAAAATGACTCCAACTTGACCCCGACTCTATCAAGTGACCATCAATGAAATAGTCAGTGTTTTGAATTCCTGCCTCTCCCAAATGTTAAGCAACAGCATTTAGTTGCTCTTAATAAGGGACAGTCACAATCCAGAAACCATTGAAAGACCTAATCAATATTACCCTGAAAAGCTCGTCGGTCGAGATGGTTATATATGACTAATAAGCTTTAGGTCAACAGCATAACTTAAAATTTCAGAGTAACTTATGACTGACATAAATAAGTAACAATCCGGACAAATACATCTCCACCAAAAACTGGAATGTACCTTCACCAAAAATTGAAAAATGAAAATATTTTTTGGTTCATTGTAAAAAAATCATAACCAAAATTTGTTAAATTATAGTTGCGATTTTGTCCTCGACGAATAGCAAGTAACCATTATCACAAATACTAACGTCAATGTTGTCCTATTAATTGCTCAGAAATGTGGGTATTAGGGTGGACCAAAAAAACTTAATTTTTTTTTCTTCTGTTACCATGAAAATACTGTTCAAAATGACAAACAAATGAGCCTGCCAAAAGGGCAGGTTTTAGTTTTAATGTTAAAAGGTTTTTCACCTTGATTTTTGATTTCCCATTTCAATAAAGGTCTGAAATGATTTTTCTTTAAGTGAAATTGTTTGAAAGTTATTCAAGGTTAAAGTTCAACCTTAAATAGCATATGATGACTTCCACAACTTTTTATAATTTATCACAAAATAATGGCTCAAAAACATAAAACATCTTATTTTTCTTGACTTTTTTCATTCTTTTTTCACAAATTTGTAGAGAAAAACTTGTTATTTCGCACAATTCAAATAAAAAGCGTTGAAAAAGAATTTCAATGTAGTTGGAAGTATTATAAAAATTTTCAATTTTCATTAGTATGTGAAATATTTTTTAATTCATAATTTAAAATCAAGTTATAACCACTCTTACATTTTACAGCTAGAGTCTCTGTGCCATTATTTTGTGATAAAAAGCAATAAAATCCCAAAAAATCCCGTGTTATTTAAATGGGATATCAAAGCTCACGACGAGGCACCTCTTAACATTAAAAATAAAAGCTATCTACCCTTTTGATTTTTTTTGGACCACCCTAGTGAATGTGCAGCGAAAAATTCTAGGTGGGTATTTTATGCACCCTAAATTTTACGTCATTTTATAATTACACACATGAGATATAAGTATTATTAAATTTATATTTTTGGATTTACATCGAGAAATTTACGACCTGCTGTGAAAGTAACCATTTTAAAAGATAACGTCAATACAAGACCTATTGAAAAAAGCATCGCATTGATATTTTATGGGAGTATCTAAATGGCAATTTAGGTAGGTACGGCGAAATATGTCTACAGCTGGGCGCCATTTGTAGCATTAACCATAGACTATATTTGGCTATGTTCAAATTTCTGGCACCCCATATAAATAATCCTCTGATTTACACTTTAACAATAAACTTTGATTACGTGTCATTTGTGCTTAAAAACTGATATAAGCGGAATTTTTCTTTATATTATTTATTAGTAATAATTAGACATAGTACATAGACAAATAGTATACTATTTTTCATTGGTATTACTAATACGCGTTCGCCATTAGTGAATCATGGGTAATAATATAATCATTAGTAATGCCATTGAGAAATTTAGTATTATTTTTAATCATTACTAATAAACAATATAAAAATAAACTCTGCTTACGATAATAGTTCAATCTTCGGGCACAAATGACACGCAATCAATTGGCGTCAATTAAATTATCATATCTTTTTGAATAAATTGACATCTGCACCCGAAACAATTTTCTTTTTTTTAACCGAACTACATATGTGGAATCCGCAAACGACGTACAATTTATTTGTAAAGTTTGGATCGGTGGATTATTTATATAAGAGCTAAAGTTCGAAACCTATAACGGAACATTCCATCTAATTACCCTTCTTCTCGTAATGATAAATTTCCGAAAATATGTAAGAAAAAAGCGTTCACGTTGTTACTGACCTTCAACTAAACGAACTCCTAATTCCAAGTTAATGAAAAGTTCAGAAACGTTTCAATCTCAAGGGCGAAGGGCAGCTGATACATATGAATTCACGATCTCAAATGATTTTTTTAGAAAATCGTTCTTTGATATGTTTGACTAAATTTTTCATCTCTAAACAGTAGATTCGAAAATGATTCAGGCCATTTTTTTAAATCAACGATTTGCAGTGGGTTTTTGCAAGGACGATTTAGATAAAATCAGATTGCTGAGTGGCAGGGAAATGTTTCTGCAACTTTTAGAAAATTACAATGAGCAAGCCATTAACCTGAGGGAAGCTGTGGATTTTTTAAAAAAATGCGAATGGAGTAGGGGGCTTGTAATAGCAGAATTCATTCGATTTATTCACCTGCTCATCACAATTCCTATTCAAATGAAAGGAGTTTTTCTGTTTTCCATAGATTAAAACATACTTATGGTCGACAATTTACGTCAGAGCCGGGCATGTTTTCGTGCCTTCAATTTACTGAACTCCTCAATAACTTCTTTTGAAATTTTTCTTTGTATTGAAAGCGCGGCTAAATTAACCAATCGCTCTTAACCCATTGTAGATCGAAGATAATTAAAATATCAGAACACACTAACAAATTATTAAATATCAACGTAATGAAATTTAATATATTTTAAATAAGGCCAATGATTATTTTTCGACGTCAATAGAATGTAATGAATGTAAATGTAGGCGTACAAGATTTTATTATTTGCACTTCATTCATTCACGGATTCCTTAGGAAGTACCCGTTACAAAGACGGGAATTCCCCCAGCGTATTGGACGCGTTCAGCCCAGTTAAAAGAATATTAGTACCGCATAAAAAGTCTAGATGGCTGTATAGTGTTTTGATCTTGATGAAATTATGAAGGTACTAAGCACATTTTTAAAGTCTTGTTTAGGATTTGATCAGGNGCGAGAGTGGCTTCGCTCGTCTACGGGATGAAGGGGCTTGATATGGGAGTGGAAGGGAGAAGAAAAAGACAAAACAAAATTATTCATTACTGCTTACTCTCTCGTACTCATTGAAGGGTATGGAGTGACTCAAACTAAACTCATGTAGCGGATCCTGCGAAGTTAAAGTTTGCCCGGCTCTGATTTACGTAATCGAGCGAGCTTTGTGTAAACGATATTGTTGTTGTTATGTAATATAATAATAGTTTCAACAATATTATCTTGTTTTATCCTTTTTTATCCCCAATCGTCCAGATTGCATAATATCAACTACCCACCCGAGTCGAACATGATCTGCCGAGTTTGGGCGTTAAGAGTAGTCTACTCTCTTTCATGATTCAATAAGGGTTTATGATATTATGATTAATGTTCACATGTCGATCTAATCGTAAACAAAGCAATAGTTCCTTTGTATACTATAATGTAAACCATTTCACTGCACAACATTTTTATAGGTGGTATGAAGAACTGAAATTGCAATATGATGCCGAGAAAACGAAGTTAAGTGAAAATGCAAGCATTTTATCCAATGAAGTTGAAAATCTGAAGAAACAAATATTATATTTAAATTCTGAGAAGTCAGAATTTCAACAAAAGCTTCAACAAGAAGAAGTCACTGTACAGTTAGTTATGATTCACTGAGTTTTCTTAATTTTTACACTTTTAAAAGTTCTCTGATTTCAGAGAACTGAAAAAAAGATGCGAAAATTTTAAACGAATTCTACGCAGCCTTCATGTTGAAAAGCGTGCTTTCAAGAAGCATTTACGCAAAACCATGAATTTCGCTCGAGATTTAGTAGAAGAACAAGAGTCACTTTTAAAAGCTTTATATGGTCGTGATCTACGAACAGAGATGAAGAATAAATTCGTAAAAGGTGCTCTTAAAATGCACAATTTGAAAAGTCAAGTAAGGATAGCTAATTAGGATAATGATACTTATTATAGTTTTATTGCAGAATAAAGATTACAAATACTTTACTTTAAAATAAATCATGCAAAATTAAGAATCAATTGTTGTTTTTATTATTTATATGTGAAAACGTACGTGTATAATTAATAAACCTATTCTTTTCTCCTTTGTTAAACACTTCAGAAAGTTACTGATCCTGAGATCTATATTTAGGTAATAAAAAAAAACTTTTGCCTGTTTCATTCTCATCAGTCACTAATGCTGGTGTGCGGGCAGTCCCTCCGGACTACGCCGGAAGGTAGGGCAGAAGACCCTCTTCAGCCTCCTTTCAGGACTAGTGACAATGGGTGGGTAGTGGTTCGGGTGAGAAAGATGAGACGGCCGAAATGGAGACAGAAGAGAATGAAATATTATGTGTGGAATATTACTGCCCCAGAATTTGCCTAAGTGATCCAAGGAAAGCCCAGAAAAACTTGGGCCAAGGCAGACGGACCCAGAATCGAACCGACGTCCTCCCAAATGCTAAGCAATGGTCTAAACCTCTAGGTCATGCCGCTCGGTATTTAGATAATAAAACTAAAACACTTTTGGGTGTTTCATTCCCACCCGTCACTAATGCTGGTGGGAGGGCAGTCCCTCCGGACTACGCCGGAAGGTAGGACAGAAGACCCTCGTAAGCCTCCTTTCCGGACTAGTGACAATGGGTGGGTGGTGGTTCTGGTGAGAAAGATGAGACGGCCGAAATGAAGACAGAAGAGAATGAAATATTATGTGTGGAATATTACTGCCCCAGCATTTGCCTTAGTGATCCAAGGAAAGCCCAGAAAAACGTGGGCCAAGGCAGACGGGCCCAGAATCGAACCGACGTCCTCCCGAATGCTAAGCAATGGTCTAAACCTCTAGGTCATGCCGTTCGGTATTTATATAATAAAACTAAAACACTTTTGGGTGTTTCATTCCCACCCGTCACTAATGCTGGTGGGAGGGCAGTCCCTCCGGACTACGCCGGAAGGTAGGACAGAAGACCCTCGTAAGCCTCCTTTCCGGACTAGTGACAATGGGTGGGTGGTGGTTCGGGTGAGAAAGATGAGACGGCCGAAATGAAGACAGAAGAGAATGAAATATTATGTGTGGAATATTACTGCCCCAGCATTTGCCTTAGTGATCCAAGGAAAGCCCAGAAAAACGTGGGCCAAGGCAGACGGGCCCAGAATCGAACCGACGTCCTCCCGAATGCTAAGCAATGGTCTAAACCTCTAGGTCATGCCGTTCGGTATTTATATAATAAAACTAAAACACTTTTGGGTGTTTCATTCCCACCCGTCACTAATGCTGGTGGGAGGGCAGTCCCTCCGGACTACGCCGGAAGGTAGGACAGAAGACCCTCGTAAGCCTCCTTTCCGAACTAGTGACAATGGGTGGGTGGTGGTTCGGGTGAGAAAGATGAGACGGCCGAAATGAAGACAGAAGAGAATGAAATATTATGTGTGGAATATTACTGCCCCAGCATTTGCCTTAGTGATCCAAGGAAAGCCCAGAAAAACGTGGGCCAAGGCAGACGGGCCCAGAATCGAACCGACGTCCTCCCGAATGCTAAGCAATGGTCTAAACCTCTAGGTCATGCCGTTCGGTATTTATATAATAAAACTAAAACACTTTTGGGTGTTTCATTCCCACCCGTCACTAATGCTGGTGGGAGGGCAGTCCCTCCGGA